ATGAAATGGTGGATAACGGCTATGATGTTTGGTTGGGTAATGCTCGAGGCAATACCTATGGGAAACGCCACTTAAAACTATCAACAGATTCCCCGAAATTTTGGGAATTTTCGTGGCATGAAATCGCAGTCATGGATTTACCCAATACCATCGATTACATTTTGGAGAAGACCCAGCAGACGCGTCTTCACTATTTGGGACATTCTCAGGGTACTGCGATTTTATTTGTTCTGCTTTCCATGCAACCGGAATATAATCGAAAATTAAAATCGCTGCATATGTTTGCACCAATTGCCTATCTCAAGCATGCACGAGCTCCGCCGATCCTTTACTTGGCGCCCTTTGTAAATATGCATACCCCAATGGATGGCCTGGTGAGTTATACCACTACGAGGTATATACCGATTGCTGGGCGTTTATTTAAAACATGTAATAATCGTAAGGCTTCCATTGAGGTTTGCGCCGTTCTGCTGGCATTGCTGAATGGTGGCATGTCGGATTTTATACAAAAAGTAAGTAGAATTCGAAAACAAAAAAAAAGATGCATTATCGAATTTTCCTCTTCTAGTCCATTTTACCGGATGTTTACCAGACCCACACGGCAAGTATTTCAGCCCGCCAATCATTTCATTTTATTCAACTTTATTTGTCGGGACATTTTCGCCAGTATGACTATGGCAGTCAGGGGAATTTAGAGCATTATAATCGTACCACACCTCCGGATTATGACGTGAAAAATATACAGCCTCGGTTCCCTTTTCATTTTTACTACAGTGATTTTGATGATTTCTCTACGAAACCGGATGTTGAGAAATTCAGTGGTGTTCTCGGGAATCGAAGTGTTCTGCATTTCGTGAATTTGAAGAAATTTGCCCATTTCGATTTTATGTGGGGTTATAATATTAAAAAACGCATTAATCCAGTTGTAATGAAAATTATGCAGGATACGGAGGAGGTATTACAAAGTGAAGACTCTCAGGATTAATAGTTTCATAATTCTAAGTAAAATAGACCAAAAATAAATTTATAATATTTTTTTAAGAATTAGTATAGCAATTAAAAATCAAATAAAATTGTGGATTTTTAAATAACATTTTTTCAAAAACTCTATAACGGAGCATTTTGCAAATAATATTTTTCAAGGACAAATAGGTGGGATTTGTTTAAGTATATTTTTTCAAGGACCAACACAAGGCTTGGATACAAAGTGTGGACTGTTTAAAGAAATTTTTTCCCAAAGCCATACAAGGCGTGGATTATTTAAAGAATATTTTTCCAAAGCCATACAAGGCGTAGATTTTTTATACCCTCCACTATATTATGGAGGGTATATTAATTTTGTCATTCCGTTTGTAACTCATCGAAATTTTAATTTCCGACCCTATAAAGTACATATATTCTTGATCAGGGTAAAATTCTAACACGATCTAATCCCGCCCGTCCGTCTGTTGTAATCACGCTATGTTCTGAGATAGGGTGCTGAAATTTTGATTAGGATTGTCTTTTGTCTGCAGGCAAGTCAAGTTCGAAGATGGGATATATTGGTCCACGTTTCGGCATAGCACCCATATAAGGGTACCCTCCAATTTTCGGTATTTTGGGGTTCTTAAGCCCGTTTTTCAGTCGATATCGCTAGTAGCTCCCATATAACGGTATCCCCTAAAGGGGTCCTTGAGCGCGGTTTTCAACCGAATTCGCTGTAATTTGATATTTTTCGTCGTATATGGTAACAATTTTCCCTATCAAAAATTATTAAAATAGTTATCTGCTTTGCTCCTCGTTTTGGTTTGGTTCTAAGGCTATGTTGTAATCATTTAATCTGCGGAAGATATCGATATGAAAAACTAGAACGTAAGATTCAATAATGAACTATAGCCCGCATTTTGGCCTAGCCCCCATACCGATTTTCGGTATTTTTAATCTTTAGCGTAAAGAAATGTGGGAAGGTAGCAAAAGGAGTGGACAAATGGGTCCCATCTTCTTACTTGATCTAGGTTTCCTAAAGATAATATGCTGTGCAAAGTTTGGTTCAAATTGGACATCCCATTCGCCTGATATTGGATTTATAAATATGGAAAATTTTGACCTTTTGTGGTGGAGGCACATTTTCACCATGTCAAAGTGTATACACCCTCATTAGCCATAAGACTGAGGGTATTTGGTGTACTTTATGTTTTACATAATCAGTTTGTAGAAATGTCGGTATAGGTCCACTTTTTGGTATGTTTCCTATATTTTCATTTCAAGTAACTGTCAGTATACCTATGGTGGAGGGAATACAAGAAAGGCCCGGCAGAACTCAACGTTTTTTCACTTGTTAAAGAATAATTTTTCTGAAGCCATACAAGGCCTGGATTTCTTAAAGAATATTTTTTCCATAGCTATACCAGACGTGGATTTTTTAAAGAAAAAATTTTTCCGGGCCATACAAGGCGTAGGTTTTTTAAAGAATATTTTTTCAACAAACAAAACAAGGCGTGGGCATTTGAAGAATATTTTTTCCGAAGCCATACTAGGCCTGGGGCCATACAAGGCGTAGGTTTTTTAAAAAACAAAACAAGGCGTAAGCTTTTGAAGAATGCTTTTTCAGGGACTTACAAAGCCGTAGATTTTTAAAAGTTTTTTTTTAAAGTAATACAAGGCCTTGATCTTTAAAAGAATATTTTTTTCCAAAAAAGATATTTTTTGCAAGAATGCTTTTATCCAAAAAGTATATATTTTCAAGAATATTTTTTTAAACTCATTGTTTTATGTACTTGTTGTGATCGAATAAAGACAATTAATACATTATTAGGTTTTAATTATGTTAGTTTTTTACAATGTAATATTGTTTCCAATTGTCTTGATTCTCTCGATATTAACTGTTCCAATTGAAATTGCTATGTAGTTTTTTATAAACATGTTAAATAATATAGTTAATAAACGCAATATATGTTACTTCTATATATAATTGCCCAATAAATATGTAAATATTGAATTAAGAAAAACTACTACTATTTACACTTTATAACAAAAATATATATACAATTGTTATAATTGTTATATATACAATTGTTTCTTAAGTTATATTTCTCTGCTCGACTGTGGGAGAATTTATAAGACAATGTATGCGGAATGTAATGTAAATAGGTATACAAATTCAGTTGATTTTTTCCACATTTCACAGGTGCTTCAAAAAGTTATAGTTGACGAATACTTGAGGTCTACAAAAGTAAATTAGTAACCAAAGATATAAGAACGTCCAGATTTTTAGTCTGGTACTACTTTATTAAAAAAATAGTTTTATTACAAATATTTGCCAATCGCTTTTAATAGATACTCACTGTATTTATTTAAAAAATGTACATATATCACTTCCAATAATGAAGATATTAATACGTATATTTATTCGTTCACTTGACTTCGCGAATTGAATGGCAATATTTAAAATATTACTGTGTACACATTGTTCAACTCTAAAATATTGCAAAATTATTGTTGTACTTAAGTCCCCTGCCTTTGATTACTGAAAAGTTCAAAAGTGACGTTAGGGTTGAAATATAGCAAGCAACGGCTCTGATTGGCTTTAACATGGCAAAGCCCAGGTTTATCTTGGTCCCTCTTTAATCACAATTGTGGACACTGACCTCCCCACGGTGTTAGCTGGAATATCTACTTTCATCATCCGTTGAATTAGTGAGCTGATATGAGAATTATGAAGAAATGGGTTGAGGCATCAGGTTAGTTGCCCACACTCCGAAAACCGCTCCTACTATGAAAAAGAAAACCAAACCCAAGGAATCGTCGGATTTACTTAGGCCTGCCATGTATTTGGCTGCGGGTTTATGGTTAACAGGAGAATAAAAGATCTCGTCTCCAGATTCACTACAGTAGATGAACAAATAGCTATAATCCGTATAAAAGTGAAGTTATTCTACATCAGTCTTATTTGCGCGCATGCAACGACAGAAGGCAAATATAAACAGACCAAAGACAATTTTTACGAGCGCCTAGAAACAGCATCGCTGCCCTGGCCATGACATTAATAGGACATTTAAATGCAAAAATCGGAAGGGAAAATATTGTTTTCCACACCGTCGTAAAATTCAGCCTTCATGAAGAAACATCCGACAATGGCATGAGGTAGATTGACTTCGCGGTTAGCAGCACCAGATTCAAGCATCTCGATCCTGATCAAGCAATGAGCATGTTGTGTTAGACGGCAGCGAATATCGATTCAGAGCATTACATTGTGGCAGCAAAGGTTCGCACCCGTCTTAATGTAGCAACAAAGGTACGGTCTAATGTAACACGGAAACTCGACGTCGAAAAGCTGTAAACACAACAGAAAGCTAGAACAAGCATGAGCAAATCGAGATGTGCAGGTGTCAGAATGAAGAAACCGAAGACATTGGCGCGGGCACAACCTCCTGCAAAGATGAAGAAGGAAACCTGGAGACAGCTATCTGGAAGGAGCATTTTACAAAACTTCTGGTATCAAATGGTAGTGGTGATGAATATATCCCCCGAACCAATAAGAGATTACCGTATAGAGTACCACCTAGCCAAGATGAGGTCAGAGTAGCAATTAATCGGACCAAGCAGCAGTTGCCGATATATTACCAGCCAAACTAATCAAGGCCGGATGCTGGCCAGGAGCATGCAGCAGCTCATTTGTAGAATTTGGCTAGAGTAATGCATGCCCAATGATTGGAACCTCAGCATCCTGTGTCCCATGCACAAAAGAGGAGACAGGACGATATGTGCCAACTATAGAGGAATAAGTCTCCTTCCCATCGCATATAAAGTGTTATCAAGTGTACTCTGTGAACGACTGAAGTCAATGGTCAATGACATTATTGGACCATACCAATGCGGCTTCAGGACTGGTAAATCCACCATTGACCAGATTTCTATTCTGCGTGGAAAAGACCCACGAATAACACATCGACACATTTCACCTATTTGTCGGCTATAAAGCCGTATTCAACAGCCCTATCTGCTCAAAGATGTTTAAAGCCATGTCTACGTTCGGCATTCTTGCAAAATTAATACGGCTATGCAGGATAACTTTAACTGGTACAAGGTCAATTAAAGTCGGAAAGTACCTCTCGGAACCCAATACCGAACGTGGATTCAAGCAAGGTAACAATTTGTCTCCATGCTGGAAGAGGTCATACGAGATGCAAAGGTAAGCAGAAATGGCACTCTGTACAACAAACAGCATATGTTACGCCTACGCCGATTACATCGATATCATTGCGAGTGGTAACAGCCACCTTTGAATGAATAGAGAGGGAACCTGCCAAAGTAAGACTGGCAGTAAATGGCGAGAAGATTAAGCATTTTAGTAGACTCGAAAGAACTGTGGACCTTGGGAACTACAGTTTCGAGGTAGTCAACGATTTTATATAGCTTGATACCGCCATAAAGAAAACTAATAAGATTATTTTTGAAATTCGAGGAAGGGCAGTGTTGGCCAACAGATGCTACTATGGTCTAAGTAATCCGGTTAGAAACAAGATCACCTGTCGCCAGATCAAACTCACACTCTACAAGGCGATGATACTACCCGTGCTGGTGTATAGATCTGAAGCATGGATACCTCAGAAAGCAGATGAGACAGATCAGAGTGTCTGAAAGAAGCATTCTCTGATCTGCGTCGAATGCACCACGAGTTATACCATCTCTACACGGACATCGACTAGTCGGACGTATCGAGCTGCAACGTCTGCGGTGGCTAGGCTATTTTGTGCGAATGGATGAGGATGTCCCATCTCAAGAGGCGTATATAAGCGAGCCAACTGATGGATCACGTACGAGAAGGCCACGTATTCGATGGAAAGATCAGATTGAAGATAACAAATCGAAACAATTGGAAAAATTAGCACAAGGCCTATGCAACTAATGTTCTGTCTCGAGCCAGCTAAATTAAGTAAATTTCGAAAATTAGCTCCTTATCCATAATTAAACTTTCTACAACTAGTCGTTCAACCGTTTCATATA